AAGAATAGAAAACGTACTGCACCTAACCTAAATAGATAAATAGCAGTATAGCAGTACCTTAACTGGGAGAAGCAGTATAGCATTATAGAAAACGTAGCGCACTTGAATAGATATATATAGCGGTACCTTGAGGGCAGTGGTTGGTGCCCACGTCAGGGTATCAGTCGCGGGGCAGCCGTTGATGCGCAACCATAGCCAGGGTGAAGCTGGGTTATCACTTAGTGTAAACAGTTAGGTAGGGGATTCTGCAGACTGTTTTTGAGGGTTCAGTCTCTACTGATTGATGAGTCAGTCGGTGAAACTCCGAGCGAGCAAACAGTTTGTCACAGCCCCCTCCCTCGTTTGTTGTCCTCTTCTCTTCTCTCCCTCCCTCCCTCTCTGCCACCGACCGTTTACCATCGGCAGCTCTGTTTGACGATATGTAGCAGGATAGAAAATGTAGTGCGCCTACAGCAGTATTAATTAATTAAAACGGATTCCAAGTGTTTCGTTTCAAGCACATCCCAAAAACCCTGCGCCTACAGCAGTATTAATAATTAAAACGGACGGATTCGAAGTGTGTCGTTTTTCAAGCACATCCCCAAAAAACAAGGTTGCCTACGTAGGTTTTCCCCGAACAAACGAACCGAAAAAAACCGCCAATTTTGGCACTGATCTTGGGACATAACTTAAATAAGTGGGAAAAAAAAAAAACCCGGATGTCTACTAACAAGCGACAACACGCTACTAATAGCCATTGCCATTGGAATATAAATAAATAAGATAAATAAATGAGAGAAGAACACATTTGACGTAATGGATTTTTGACCGGGTTTCCAGCATTATTCATCAGAATTTGAATTTTTCATACAGAAATTAACAGCATTCCTTAGGGGGGGGGGGGGGTAAAGGACATACCGTGTGCTTGTATGTTGTGCAGTGCCCTGGGAAGGGTGTGGCTGGTCCCTCAGGGGGAACTCGAAAGATAGCGGGCATTCACGCCCTACAAATCAGATGTCATAATTCAGCTACCCCCTAGACTAGAGGAACGAGAGGCTCCTTCCAGAAGGAACAACAAGATACCAGGGGTACGCTAGACCCTCTGGGAACCACTCACCCAGCGGCTGTCTGCTGCCTGGGCAAACACTCAGTGAGCTGCAGAATGTACCCATACCAATACTCCGGCGGCGTAAGAGGCGGTCTTGGATCCACTCAGTTGCTCATCTTTCCCTTCTCCTTTTGCTTTAAATTTCAATATGGAATCGGAGAGGGAACTAAGGGACGGGAAAGCTGACAGCCAATCCTCCTTCGAGGAGTAATCAATGCTGGTCAGGGGTCCTTCGTGCCATAGGGAAGGAAGCGTGAGCGTGTATATTGATGTGTTAAATCTTTGACTTGCCGGGGGAATAGCAACCGGACTGATGCTCCCCAGAGTAAGGTCCTGTTTAAAATTAAAAAAAAAAGAAAGAAAGAAAAAAAAAAAACTCATTTGATGTGATGGATTTTTGACCGGGTTTCCAGCATTATTCATCATAATTTGAAATTTTCATACAAAACTTAAAAGAATTCCTTAGGGGGGGAAAAAAGGACATACCGTGTGCGCATAGGTTGTGCCGTGCCCTGCCTCCAATTCGCATTTTTCATCCGTGTGCGTGTATGTTGTGCATTGGTTTTGTCTCTGAATCAGAGAGAAATCATGCAAGGACGACAAATCTCCTCGAAGAAGCCTTGTGCCCGCCCTCCCACCGGACCCGCCCAAGCAAAAGGGAAAAAAAAAAAAAAAAAAAAAAAAGAAGCTCCGGAGATGGGACAACACACGTCACAACAGTTCGCCTCAATATTGTGATTTGCTCTCCTTTCGACTTACATTTTCAGCCTTGCCCCACTACTCACCTAATGTGCCAAATGACAATGAACCTTCTCCTAGAACATGGGTAGATACACCACCATATTCGTTTTCTTCTGTGCACACAGTCGGTAGTTTAAAAGCAAGGCCCTATGTCCGACGATTGAGATGTCTTGGCTGAAGAGAGAAAACGCCACGAACATCGGTTAAATTTGGAATACACAGAGGAGATTCGCATGGACCCTGCGCAAGGATAACATCATCGCATGCATTTTTGAAAGAAAAAAAAGAAAAAGGCCTCAACTGGAGAGTGGTCACAATAAAATCCGTTAATCAAAGCACACCTCCCCCGCCCCAACCCCAACGCCCCACCAACCCCTGCAACATCTCCAGACCAGAGCCGACCTGTCCTGCCGAGACTTGGTTGTTCTGGGCTATACCGATTTCTGGCAGTCCAAGAGCAGGGGGTGGGCGGGGGAGATCCACAAGCCTAGAGGGGTCACTACAAACGGAAAAAGTGTGGCCATCTGACGCAGACGAGGTTGAAGTCGGAATGTGGACTCAGATCGGCCTACACTGAACTGAATCCCATTGGAGGCAGGGCAAGGCACTTCGCCGTCAACGCACATACCCGCACATATATCCTTCTCTTACTTCACAAGTCATACATGATCAAATGTGATTTCAAGCATAAGCAAGCAAGTTCACAGACAAAGAAAGCAGCTCAAAACAGAAAACAAAAAAGAAGAAGAAGAAGAAGAAGAAGAAGAAAGCAGCCCGACGCTCCCAAGATGCACAGGCACTGTCCTCATTCCATGTGGCGAATGGTACACACACACACACACATTCAACACATGCACACACACACATTCAACACATGCACACACACACATTCCACACACACACACACACACACACACACACACACACACACACACTCAGCACACGCACAGATTTCAACGCGCGCGCACACGCACACACACACACACACACACACACACAGACACACACACACAC